TTACATGGCACTGTTAATGGTAGTAATATTAACAGAAATGGTATATAGTATCTCTTCTCCTAATACTAATGATAGATCTAGTTTTAAATTCGATGTCATCTCGTCAATTCGATACATCTTGTAGTGGGAAAGCATAAAAAAGCACGCCTAATGCTAATACCTATGTTCACACACAGCATCGTCGTCCTCATAGAAGATTGTTGATAGTTGTAGCACGTTGCTAACTAAAAGAAAAAAAATTAATGCGAAAGTTTCTCTCTCACTCAAAGTAACAAAAATTTTTAAGGGGAGAAACTTTACCTGAAGATAACAACATTCAAACATTATATACAAAGATTATAAGGTCAAAAAAGTCCACACTTCTAATAATAACACTACTAAAATAAAAAACGGGGGTATGTGGCCCGAAACCAAACAATCAGACATGCAATAGAAAAAAACAACAAAATTTGTGAAATGATAGATGGCATGATCTCATAAGTTTATTAATATTAATATAGGTTTTTCGGTTGAGCCGAGGGGCAGCACGCAAACTGAAAATTCAATTCCCAGAATGAAATTGAGAAGATTCAAAGCAGGCTTCATCATTGAGTTTGCAGGAAAATAATCGTATCACAGACGGCACCTTTTTGCCCTTTTTTAGCGACCTTTATACTGAAATTTATATTTTGCAATAAGATTCTTTCACCTAGAGATCAGACTCGTCAAAAATTCTTTACTCTTGGTGCTCATCCCAGGTTTGATCGCATGTATTCAATTAGCAAATAAACAAGATTATCTTGGTATTTCATCAGACATCTACGTAAAATTCATGTATTAGTATATACATCTTTTTTGAAAACAAGTTTTCCGTATATTTTTGAATTATAGATAAATTAAACATATAGATTATTTTGTATTATTTGAATAAAATAATCAATTAATAATAATAATAATAATCAAAATATCCATAAAAGTGGCAATGATGACGATGATGACGATAATGTAGTAACAATTAATTAGAAGAGACGTAAGATGATAAACAAAGGATGGTGTGATTTTTCTAGACATGAAACCATTTATTCCCATAATTCATAATTAATCGCCACCAGGATCCAACACTTTTGCCACTTCAATCTCCCCCTTTTGCATCTAACCCTCGCCATTGCAAGAAACATAATCTATTCTCGTACTACCTCTTTCTTATATATATGTCATATCGCTTTCGATCGTTGATTATTTTGCTCTTACTTTTTATCATTGGCAGTCAAAATTCCTTCCTCCGAAAAAAAGTCAGCCAAGATTGTATTTAATAATAAAACACTCTGTATTAGGGATGTCCACCGAAACTAAATACTTTCGGTAAAATTTTCGGTTTTGTTCAAAAACTGAAAAAAATTTATAAAAAATTTATTTATTTTTGATAATGGTACATATATTAATAATATAAAACGAAAGTAATTATTTGAATTAAAAAAATGAGATGATTACAATATGTTTTGCATAATTACATAATTCTAAATAGAATCAAATTAGAAATTCATGAATTATTGGACGACCTTCTTTAAATGTTTGGATATACTTGCAAAAAGAAGTGAGGTTAAAAATAGCAAAGGACATTATTTTGCCAAGTGTCACTATTGTGTCAAATTTTTTGATGAGAAACATCTGGTAAAGGAATGTGGTGTAGTAAATCAAATTTCTTCTAATAAACAAGAACAACCAAGTTTGTCTGAATTCTACGAAAGCACAACATTAATCACATAAAGGAATGATAATATTGATGGGGTATTAATCGGGCATTTATAACGTGTTGTATATCTTCTAATGTTATATTTTATTGAGTTACTTGGATAATGTAGACCTGCCTACACACCACATAATAGAAATGTAAATCTCAGGAAGACTTTTTGATACAGAAGTGACTAATATTAATACCAAAATTAACCTGCAACTTGTGAAGACACCAATAATTATAAAACAAATGATATAGATAGTGGTTATGATAGTGATGCAGATGATGAAAACCAAAACGAAAGAAAAAAAAACTAGGATTAATTATAAATTTGATAATGATTTTTTGATATTTTTGATGGTAATAAAATAAGCGATGTTTAGTCAAATGTATTCATAGTTGACTTTCGAAAAGGGAGGGTTTCGGTGGACATCACTACACCTATTCCTTCCAATTTGGAACTTGATTGCTAAAACTTGTTACGTTTTTTCGACAGAAACACTCAATCATCAGCAAGAAATTGATTTAATTCTTCCTTATTAAATGTCAGTAAAGTGGGTGTCGGTAAAGTGTCCGGGTCCGCTTTTAAGGCTGAAAAAACATGGAAAAAATTGCCAGATAAATTGATTTTATAATAAATAGAAAAGTTTTTACTTCTTCATCCTAAGGAATGTACAAAATTAAAAAAGTCAATTTTAATTTATGTGAACTAGAATGATTTTTAATAATACTTTGTGATTTGCTTTTGACTGGCTCCTCTTGTTCTTTTAACTTTCTCTTGATCGTCTGGAATATTGAAGAAAATTTTCATTTTGAATAAATAAAGAAATCTGTTAAAACATTGTACATAAAAGCTTGCAATTAATTGATAAATGTAGCCATAAAACATAAAATAGTCAATATCGACCAAAAAGCTGCCTTCGCAATATGCAATTCACATCAAATACTATTTAGTAAACAATCTTTAGCCAGTCCCAAAAGGCCAGTTTTTAATTAATCTTTGGGACCAGATCAACACAACAAATGTTTTATGAGTTAAATGTTTTTTTATTTGTGTTGTGCTACTAATTTTTTCCAAATTGACAAATTAAACTTTTCATTTACAGTAACATTGAAAATTTGCAAAAAAATTTTCGATTTCCTCACTGTTCAATATTAAATTAAATTTTACCTTTTTTCAAAATAAATTTATAAAAAGATATTAAATAAAATTAAAATGTCATATAATAAATTATTATCATTAGAAAGAAGTGAATTTGTATATGCAATTAATAAAGAAATGTATAATGCTCTGACTAATTCTGAAAGTCTTGAAAATAGAAAAGATTATTTTTTTTCATTAGTTGAAAAAAATAAGGAGCTTTCTGAAAATGAAAAACAATATTGTAAAGGATGGTTTATTTATAGCAGTGAATTAAATAATGTAATTTATAAAGTTGGCAAACCAAAAGAATGTAACAAGTGTAAAACAACAAGATACTCTGATAGATTCTGTGAAGGTTGCATTAGTTTACAACTACAGAGTCTTTTCACTAATTGGACATCTGGAAATAACATAATTGATAATTTTATTCAACAATGTCAAATGAAATCATCTCTGCCAACTTATATTTTAGAATGGATACCTTTTGAGCAATTTGAAAAAGTAACAAAATTAACTGAAGGTGGATTTAGTTCAATTTATACTGCTTCATGGACAAGGGGAAGTATTGATGATTATGATGAAAATAAAAAGGAATTTTATTATTTTGGAAGGCAACCAGTAGTATTAAAAAGTTTAAATAATTCAAGTAATCCAGGAAAATCATTTTTTGATGAGGTTGGTGATTTTATTTAAATAACACTGTATTATATAATACTAATTGATTTTATATTCAATTACAGGCAATGAATTATTATAAAATTAAATCACCACTAATTGTTTCTTGCTATGGTGTAACTAAGTTCCCAGATAATGGAAATTATGCAATTATTCTTAGTCTATATCCAGAAGGAAATTTAAGGGACTATTTACAAAAAAATCATTCTAATTTAACATTAAAAAATAGAATTACAATCTTTGTTTATTTATGTAATGCATTAGGTGATATACACAAAAAAGATTTAATCCATTGTGATTTACATAGTGGCAATATATTATTGCATGGAGGTGATTGTTATATTACAGATTTAGGATTATGTGGACCAGTTGATGAAAAATCATCAAATAAAATCTATGGAATTATATCATATGTTGCACCTGAGCTACTTAGAGGCAAAATTAATGCAAAGAACACAAAAGAAACAGATATCTATAGTGTTGGGATGTTAATGTGGGAAATATTTGCAGGCCATCCACCATTTAATAATAGGGGTCATAATCATCGTTTAATTTTTGATATATGTGAAGGTTTACAACCACCAATATTATCTGGAATGCCTAATGACTATTCACAAATGATGCAGAAATGTTGGGATGTGGATCCATCTAAAAGACCAACTATTCTAGAGCTTTCCATATTTGCTGATAATAAACTAGAAGAAATTATTAAAAATATTAATAATGACACAACAGTGTTAGTACATAATATTAATAGCAGTAATAATAATACTACTAGTGGCATTGGTAATAATTTGCAACAAGTACACAAATCACACCCAGATGCATATCATAAAAGTAGAATATTAGATGATGAAATTGCCAAGTCAAAAAGTTTAAAAAGTTATAAAAGTAACAACAGTTCATTAAATAGTCTTGATATTAATGATATTCTCTCAAGCATTGACTTTAACAATGGTAAATAAAAACAAATTTTGTTAATTAAATTATTAATTGTTATCACTAACATCTTTTTTTTTAATTAATTAATAATTAGATTCTAGTAATAAGGGGAAAGATGTTGAAAGATCAATGGATGATTAATTTAATCCCCACTATAAACTTATTCATATAAATTATATTTTTATTCTTAACTTTATTATATATAATAATTTTTACAATTTTTAATTCTTGTACTGGAGTAGAGGAATATTTTTAATCATAACTTTTCTTTTTCTTCACATTTCTGATTTTTCTCTTATTTTGAATAATGGTGGAAACACCATTTGTGGTATAATATCACTCTGATGAGAATTCTTTATTAATAAAATCCAACATATTGATGTTATATTATTTTCCAAGTAAGATATACCCAACTTTACATATAAAATATATCTGAGAACTTCAGAGTATATGATGACTCTAATCCACAGTAGGCATCAAATATAAACCAGTTCTTTAAACTTAAAATTATTCCCACAGCTCTAGTCAGCTGTAGGTTGTGGTGGGTGCACTGAAGGTCACTCTTTGAGGTATAACCACTATTCTAAACACCCCACTAGCAATCTCTCTCTTCTTTCCAGGTGAGTAGTTTAATGCCAATTGGATAAGTGTCACTTCATATAGTGTGTAATGCTAAAATTCATCAATACCAATCTTTAAAAAAACCATAGTCATTTTTCACAAGAAGACAAATTTTTTATATTAAACAAACAATGTAAAGCTAAACTATAATACCTTTAATTTGGTAATTAGCACTGGATGGTTGGTCAAATCCAAGAAATATATCTGTCTGGAATTTTATAATTTATACATCAAGTAGACAACAGTATCTTTATTGCCTAAAAGATTTTTCAGCAAAAAGTCATACAGGAGAATTTATTGCATTTCAAGTTGAAGAGGTTCTTAATAAGATTGGTACAAGAAAATTTTCTGCAATAGTTACAGATGGAGCTGCTAATGTGAAAGAAGCAAGAAGAATAATCACATCCAAACATCCATATATATTAAACCTGCGCTGCATTGTACATTGTTTCAATTTGATATCCAGAGACATATTAAAACATAGATTTTCCAAAAATTTAATTTCTATATGCAATAAAATTGTTAAATTCTTTAAGAAATCACATCATGCAACTAAAATTCTTGAAGATAGTATTGAAAGATTCCAAATAAGTGGTGGATCATTAAAAAAATACTCCAAGACTAGATGGGTATCTGCATATGACACAGTTGAATTCATTTTACAACTTCAGCCTTGCTTTAATATGGTAAATAATTTATTGAAATTTTTGTCAATGAATTTGTACTAATTAAATTTATTTTTTATAGATTTTGAATGAAAATTGTGATGTGGTTTCTTTAGAAGTAAGACAACTACTAAATGGAAGAAATTTTTTCAACAACTTACAAGATTTGGTGCATATTCTAAAACCAATAAACAATTCAATTGTTGAACTTGAATCTAATGCATGCAATTTATCAGATTGTTACCTGAATTTTGGAAAAAATTGCCAGATAAATTGATTTTATAATAAATAGAAAAGTTTTTACTTCTTCATCCTAAGGAATGTACAAAATTAAAAAAGTCAATTTTAATTTATGTGAACTAGAATGATTTTTAATAATACTTTGTGATTTGCTTTTGACTGGCTCCTCTTGTTCTTTTAACTTTCTCTTGATCGTCTGGAATATTGAAGAAAATTTTCATTTTGAATAAATAAAGAAATCTGTTAAAACATTGTACATAAAAGCTTGCAATTAATTGATAAATGTAGCCATAAAACATAAAATAGTCAATATCGACCAAAAAGCTGCCTTCGCAATATGCAATTCACATCAAATACTATTTAGTAAACAATCTTTAGCCAGTCCCAAAAGGCCAGTTTTTAATTAATCTTTGGGACCAGATCAACACAACAAATGTTTTATGAGTTAAATGTTTTTTTATTTGTGTTGTGCTACTAATTTTTTCCAAATTGACAAATTAAACTTTTCATTTACAGTAACATTGAAAATTTGCAAAAAAATTTTCGATTTCCTCACTGTTCAATATTAAATTAAATTTTACCTTTTTTCAAAATAAATTTATAAAAAGATATTAAATAAAATTAAAATGTCATATAATAAATTATTATCATTAGAAAGAAGTGAATTTGTATATGCAATTAATAAAGAAATGTATAATGCTCTGACTAATTCTGAAAGTCTTGAAAATAGAAAAGATTATTTTTTTTCATTAGTTGAGAAAAACAAGGAGCTTTCTGAAAATGAAAAAGAATATTGTAAGGAAAGGTTTATTTATAATTTTGAATTAAATAGTGCAATAAATAAAGAAGGTAAACCAAAAGAATGTAACAAGTGTAAATTGACAAGATACTCTGATAGGTTCTGTGAAGGTTGTATTAGTTTACAATTACAGAGTCTTTTCACCACTTGGACATCTGGAAATAACATAGTTGATAACTTTATTCAACAATGCCAAATGAAGTCTTCTCTACCAAAATATATTTTAGAATGGATACCTTTTGAGCAATTTGATGATATAACAAAGTTGGCAGAAGGTGGATTTAGTTCAATTTTTACTGCTACATGGAGAAGAGGAAGAATAATTGATTATGACGAAAATAAAAAGGAATTTGGTTATTTAGGAAAAGGGTATGGAGTAGTATTAAAAAGTTTAAATGATTCAAGTAACCCAGGAAAATCATTTTTTGATGAGGTTGGTAGTTGTCATTTAAAACAAAATAAACAGTACTGTATTATATATATAATACTAATTGATTTTATATTTTATTTCAGGCAATGAATTATTGTGTAATTAAAGCACCGCTTATTGTTCAGTGCTATGGTATAACTAAATTCCCAAATAATGGAAATTATGCAATAGTTTTAACCTATGTTCCAGAAGGAAATTTAAGGGATTATTTGCAAAAAAGTCATTTAACATTAAAAGACAGAATTACAGTATTTTATTATTTATGTTATGCATTAAATGATATACATGAAAAAGATTTAATCCATAGTGATTTACATAGTGGTAATATACTTGTGCAAGGAGGTCATTGTTACATTACAGATTTGGGATTATGCGGACCAGTTGATGAAAAATCATCTGATAAAGTCTATGGAGTTGTATCATATGTTGCACCCGAAGTACTTAGAGGCAAAAAAAACACCAAAGAATCAGATATCTATAGTGTTGGGATGTTAATGTGGGAAATATTTGCAGGTCACCCACCATTTGATGA